AGCTCCCATCCCTGGGTAGTGGATGTTAAGATTATGGAGATTCCTAAGATTGGTGGAGTTGGGCACCGCAGAGCCATCTGACTACGTCAGGGTGCTCTTGACGGGCTGGCTGTATGGGACACTCAGTCCCAGCCTCTCCCCTCTACAAATCCTGCCACTGTTGGCCATGTTGTAAGGCAGCAGCTGTGCCAGGGAAGCTGGGTCCATTTGGGGCACCTTGAGAATTATTGCAGGGAGGTGATGAGAAGCGAAATCTGTGCAAACAGTGATGGAAGGCTGTTGTCTTGGTGTATCCCTTGCCTCATAGTCAATATATTTTTTTCTTTGGAGAGTCACCAGTGACCCGAGCCCTCCACACTAGCCTCCTGTATCTCATCAGGTCCCTTCTCAGTACTGTATTGGCTCACTGCATCAGGAATGGGTGTATGGGTGTGTGTGGGTGTGAGTGTGAGTGTGTGTATACCAATAAACAACCTGGTTTTAAGATAATGTATAAATGGCCTCCAGTCTTTTTTTTTTTTTTTTTTTAACTTTGAAGCTCACCTGAGATTTCCAGCTTCTTTCATAGTCATAAAGGCTGCTGTACTCGGGAGAGGAAATATCACAGTTTTGAGAACTTAAAGTCAATAACTGTTTACTTATGTAAGCACAGGATTGACTGATTAATGTTTGGGTTGCATGTGCCCAGTGGGTAGAGGACCAGATAAGGAGAGAGGAGCCCGATGTCTTCCTTCATCTCGCTCATCTGGTCAGGCTGTCCCTCTTTCCCACTGCTCCTGGAGTTCCTTCTCCTGAGTGCCCACCGGTCACATCACTCTACTGTTCCTACTTTCAGCAGCTCCTAGCACCTCTAGATCAGAGTTGCAGCTCCTCCTCACTGTGGCCTAAGAAGCCATTCATGACTTGCCTCCTCAGCCTTTTCTCCTCCCACCAGGCTCCAATCTGCCCAACTCAGAAACATGGTGTCCGCCCAACTCAGAGACATGGTGTCCGCCCAACTCAGAAACATGGTGTCCGCCCAACTCAGAAACATGGTGTCCGCCCAACTCAGAAACATGGTGTTCACCCAGCCCCATCACCAGAAGGCGCACAGTTGCTTACCTTTGCAGTTTTGAGCCTTCAAGACCTCTTCAAGCATCAGTGGGGAGGCATCGCCTCCCCTCCCCAGCAGAGCTGGATAACCAGCAACGCTTTGCTCTCCCAACACTGCCCACTGCACAGGCTGGGCAGTGATTGCGTCCCACGCTGGGCTGCGAGTACCATCCTTTAGGGCGGTCTTGTTGATCTCTGCATATCCTCGAATGAATCAATGCACCAGCCTTCTCTCAGAGGGTTGTATAAGGATTAATATTAGTAAAGGCTAAAAATCACTGAGTACCATTGTTTGCCAGACACTGTTCTAAGCACCGTAAATATATTAACTCATTAATCCTCACAACTCTGATATATTCTCAACATTTTATAGAACAGGACATTTTAAGGCTAAGATGATACAGCTGGTAAGAGACGGATGTGGGTTCAAACCTAGGTCTTCCTGACTCCAGTGCCTGTCCTTAACTACAATATGATGTTAAAGCTCCTGACCCAGTGCCGGGAGTGTTTATCTTTTCTTTATTTTTCATTCGGAGTAGCATGAAGAAAATGAGTGCTTATCAAATGGTGCTTGCTTCTTTTTTAAGTCAACTTAAGCCCCTGTGCCTCAGCAAGCCTTTCCCAGATACCCAGCCCCCTGACTCCTTGGTGTGTACAACTCATGTGGTCTTTGGCTTCTATGAGTCTTCACGAGGCTGTGTTTCTTCTGCTTCCTGGAGTGGCAAACCCCCTTCATGCAGCACAGTGCGCCATGCATCCTTGTGTCCTCTTTAAGGCTGATGGGGCCCCAAACACTGATGGAGCAAGGGTGGCAGCGTCCATGGGCACAGGTGAGGGGAGGGAGTGGGACAAGATACCCGGCACACAGCCCAGTGAGGGCAAACGGAGGTGAGGGAAGATGCTGGCCTCTGGGGGTCCCTTGCTACTCTCTCCAGGATCAAAGGTAAAATTGATGAGCCTTGGTGACTGGCTGGCTATGGGAATGAGATCTTCACTGGAGGGAAGCAGGAAAACTATGACTGCCCTGTGCTGCCTCCCACTGGGACAGGGGATATAGACAGGGCGGACTTACGTGGAAATAGGAGTTTGATTTTGATTTTGGACATGCTGGGCTTGAGGTGAGAATTGGACATCATGGTTCCATCCGCATTTATAGGAAAGAAGCAGCTAGGTCTCTTTCCTAGAACCGTTTCCTTTGCTCCCTCTAGGAATGCTCCAAGCAGTGAGGGACGGGGAATCCAGATCCAAAGGGGGACCTGTGGCTGAGGAGGATGAGGCACAGCTAGAACTGTGGAGGGGCTGTGATTGGAGTTCCCACTCAGGCCTTGGTTGAACTTCCTTAGGCAAGGTCCCGGTTCAGCCTGAAGTCTTCCAGTCTCACCTTCAGGCTTTTCTGTCCCAGCCTGGGGTCCAGAAGCCCCGGGGAAGCCTAAGGAACCTAACATGCTGGGACGACGTTTTGCCCAGGAAGCAGATAACTGAACTGAGGGGTATCCTTTCCTCTCACCGCCCGCCGTCACTCCTCCGCCACCCCACTCTCCAGCTGATCCACCCCATCTACACCTGCAGCACTTAAGAAGGTTTCCCAGTCTACCAAATCAATTACTCTGAGAGGTTAGATACCTAAGAATGCTCATCAGGGTGCCACAAGTAGTACCGTAAGCATTCTTCAATTCACACCAATTATCTGAGCACTCTTTAAGAAGTTCCTATTTACACACCAACAATTAGTGTGCCAATTTTAAGTAATATTTATCTTTTCATTGTAGTGGATTCCCTAAAGTCCATTATTAGGCAACATTTGATTAACCCAGTTTGATTTATTGTAGGTGCTTCCAACTATAGAACAAATTTGAGCTAATCTCCCTAAAGAACTCTAAGTCATTATTCGTTAATTGGAGTCTTCTCTGTAATTCTGTTGTGAAGATTAAGCATTTGCTAATTTAAGGAAGTCCCCGTGCTTTGATAACAATTGTTTATTCTGTGAAAATAATGAGTGAGGCTGGGCTCCTGCTTTGCAGAGTTTGCCATTCACACCTGTGGAATTCTAGCGAATTTTAGGCCCTTAAGGACTTAAAGACGTGAGAAAGTAATTAGACAGTGTCTACGTGCCACCACGGTAGGGATCCATTGCACCCAGTATCATTGCTGAGGACTGTTCATTCTTCCCAGAGTATGAACGCGAACTTCCCTGTCTAATTGTCAAGACAGTTGAAGAAGAGTTGATTAAAAAAAAATATTTCCAGCAACCCCAGAGCCTGTCCTTCAGCAGAGCGGAGTGCCTTCCTTGGCCAGTCAGAAGGAGGACAAGGGATGGGCAGGTCACAGCTGTAGGTGACAGGGTTGTTTCCACCCTAAGAGCATGGGAGGTGCTGGGGGCAGAGGAAATGAACCTGAGGGGAGAAGATCCTCCATGAATGTGTCCTGAGTATTTTCAGAGGGTAATAAAAGAGAGTACATTCCAGAGTCAAGGCATTGCAGCCAGCCTGGTTGCCCTCCTCATTCCTAAGGACAGTGAATCAAGGCTAAGAGTCATGGAAATGACCTTGGTCCTCCTCTCCAGCTCTTCCAAGGGGGAAAGACTAAACTCAGTGACACCAGTTTGAAAAGAAGAAAATCCCACCAATGGGAGCAGAGTAGGCCAATTTGCAATTCCCAATAAGCCCTGCCTGACTGGTTTGGGTTAGGCGGGCAGTGGGGGAGACCCTCCCTTCCGCACCCTCAGCTGAGTTCTGTGAGCCTCCAGACGTTCCTTCTGATTCTTTTCCTTAGGCAGAGTTTCTGGAGAACTTCGAGGGACACAGTGTTAACTCTCCTCTCCAGCAGTAAGGTCAGGAGGGTGGGTGTGGGAGAGATGGCCCAGCTGAGCCCAGAGCCAGAGCAGGGTAGTCGCTAGAGCCTCAGGCAACACTGGGTTAAGTCCATTGTCAAGGGCCCCAAAGAATTAAGTAGGGCTGGATTATACCATGCTCTGAATCCCTGCTTCTGTAATGATTCTGATACTTATACTTCGCAGCGAACCAGATGAACTTAGCCCCAAGCAGTTGGAATTAATAAAGTTTTCAGTAGATGTTCATGTTCCATTTGAATTCTAGCTCCTGTGAACGCCCCAGTTAATCCCTGTGTAATGTCTATCCAAAAACCTTTGTTCTCAATTTCCCACCCACCTTCTACGTTCTGGAAGCTAATCTTTGCAAAATAGCAACCCAAATGAAGAGGACCCCAGCTTCTCTTCGATTGTTCTTTGTGGACTCCTTTACCCTCCCTGAGCCGAATCTTCTTCATGCTGGGAGCTGCAAGCAGGAACCAGAATCCCCTTCTGCCTGGAGGGAATGGAGGAGAGTGGGGAGGGGACATGCTGTTTGGCCCACAAGGAAATTACAGTGTCTGACCTCACTCCCTTTCTCACCTCCCACTCCTCTACAGGGCTCCTGGTATTGTGACACCAGGGCAGAGGTGGGGACTAGGGAAGGGAAACCACAAATTCTACCTCTACACCCTGGCTGTGGGCTGAGCACTGGGCATACGAGGTGCTCAGTTAACTGAAACCAGAGGACCTTTTGGGATATGACACGTCGCACAGCAACCTGTGAGCAATGGCTGTGAGGTATAGTGCAATGGAGTGCCCACCCAGTTGTCCTCCGTGTCCCACAAGGATGTCTGTGGAATCTGGTCTCCCCCTAGACCGAGGTCCAGACATGCCTGACTTCCTTTGGCATGGTAAAAAGAGCAGGGGCCCCAGTGCCTAGTGACCACCAGCAAGGCGAGGCCCTCAGCGCTGTGGAGCCCTGCCCACTACGTTGTGTCTGGACTGCTCAGAAGAGGGAAGTCAGTCATTGCCCTCCCTGCTCTGTGGGAGGGGCAGGGCTCTCAGTCATTTCCCTCCCTCTGCATCATCACCGACACTCTTCTGGCAACCAGTCTTTATTCGTTTTTTTAAAAAGGAAATCCAAATAAGTTAGCAAAACAAAACAAAAAAAAAATACAAAACAATGGCAAAACCACACGATGCTTAGTTAACAAAAGAAATCACCCCAAGAGCCCCCAACCCCCTTTCCCTGCCTGTCCCCCGGCAACTTCAGCACAGGAGACCTTGGTCAGATGGCAGCTTTACAAACAACACACAAAACAAAACAAAACACGACATAAAACCACTGGAAGGTTCCCAATATTCACTGCAAAAGCTTGGCTCCCCAGGGACTCGGGAACAGAGGATTGTTCCTCTCCCTTTCTTCTGTCTCAATTCAGGGCAGGCCCAGCCCAGCCACTGGCATCGGGAAGAGACCAGAACAGGAGACGTGCACAGCTTGTCCAGGTCAGGACACTGTCTTTGTCTCTCAAACCGTTTCATTTGGGGGGGTGGAATTAGAGGCCGCATTATGATGAAAAGGAAGCTCCTGAGTTTGCCCCCTGAGCTGAGGCATACACGACGGGGTGTTCTGGTCCCCTGCTTTACCTCCCTGGAAAGGGAATGCCCTCTGCTCCAAGGAGGCAGCTGAATGAGGGCATCCATTCCCTTGCTGGGGGGTGGGTTAACCTTACATGGATGAGGAAGGGGATAGTCTGGCCTACGGCATCCCAGAGCTGGCTTCCTAGCATCAGGGTGCCCTGGCTTAGGAGGCCCCTGCTGTAGAAGCAGTGGCATCTGTGGCCAGCTTGGGGGGCTCACAAGGACACCCGGCCTGTCAGACAATCTCAGTTGGGCATGGTTTCATCTGGGAAGGCCACAGACACATCTTCCACTGTGATGCTGTCCACGATGGAGGTGAGGGAGTGCAGGTTGTGGGCATCTGTAGGGTCAGCCGTGAGCAGATGATCTGTAAGGGGAGGTGGGAGAGTGGTACCTGAGTGAGGAGCAGGGGTTCTTGAGGCCCAGAATGGGGGAATGAGGGATGGGATCCTTGGAGTGACACAGGTTTTCCAGGACAGATGGGTGACAAAGCTCGGGAGTTCTACTCCCTAGTCCCTGCCTTTCCCCATGCTGTGTGTGTGTGTGTGTGTGTGTGTGTGTGTGTGTGTGTGTGCGCGCGCGCGCGCCCTTCCTTTCTGAAATCCCCTAGTGAGGCAGGATTTGGAATCAGTCACTCCAGTTGGAGGAGGATGGAGCTCCTCAGAGACTGGACCTGCCCTTTGCTGGGCCCAGTTTTGCAGCACTGACTCAGCACTTTGCAGGGACCCCTGGGGCGGGGACATTGTCCTCTCTGTGGAGAAGGTCAGCCACCAGGCATCAGCTGGGGAGCTGCAGGAGCCACCATAACTCCTTTGCTGGTCAAGACTACAGGGGCACACAGAACCTCCCAGCCCACCCTTTGGGCCCTGGAGTGCACAGGTCCCTGCAGAGACCCAAGGAAGAGGACCAGAGCAAGGAATAAGGTAAGAGGAGAGGACCTGGCCCAGGGAGGGACTGAGGGATTGGAGCCAAGTTTGCCCTCACTTACCCCCGGGGTTGGCCCCGAACTCCAGTGCGCTGCCCCACTCTGGACTGCAGGAGGCGCTGTGAGAGCTGCATTCACTGGGCACCTGCAAGACAGGGCGAAGGCCCAAGGTCAGGGCACA